CAATTCAAGTTCCTAGAATCAACCCACCCGCGCCTGCAACATGGCTTTATCCCAGAGGTCGCAATCGGGTACCCGATACCCGTACTGTACCCGTACCCGGCCCGGTACGGGTAGGGTACGGGTACGGCCGGGTACGGGTACCCGTTTGCGACCTTGGTGTCAAGGCGCCCTTCCCCCCTTCCAACCCAGCTTAAATATACGCTCCAAGCGTGGTGGTGTTTCATTCAGACGCTGTCTCCCCGACAGACCTGGTCTTCACCTGAGGACGGCTGCTTGCGTTGTGGCCGAAACGTCGTGAGAATTATTTTATTATGTTTTATTTTTATTATTTTATTACTTCCCTTCTACGTGACTTTACCGAAAGAACCAAGAAGATGAATCAAAACCCGTTTGCGACCTCTGGGGGAGCGGTAGGGAGGCGAGGAAGGCGGGGGGGGGGGGAATTATGAAGGGGGGGAGAGAGGGGGGGGCTGATCGGCTCGTGACGGTCAGCTGCTCACCAAGGGGTGAGAGCGATGTTGTGAGATGGAGCTTGGGGTGGGGTGGGGGGTGTTACTGTGTTGGGTGTGCGCGTGATTGACCCCCCCTACAGCAAGGGGGCGGGGGGGTCAAACAATGGGAGGGGGGGGGGCTGCGTCATTCTACGAGGATGTCCGGGTTGAAGGCCGTGAGTGGATGGCCGTACTTGCATGGGGCACCCTTGATACAGTAAATGTAGCTGTGACGGTCCCACCTGATGACGGAGACTTGTGTTGCCTCCGAAACGTCGTGATTTATTATTTTATTTCTATTATTACTTTTATTGATTTTAATTTTATTTTTTACCTACGTGACTTTACCGAAAAAACCTAAGAGTATGAATCCTTGCAGTCACGAACGCTTCAAATCTAGAATCTAAACTCAAACTTTTTATCTTCTTGGTTCTTTCGGTAAAGTCACGTAGAAGGGAAATAAATAAATAAAACATAATAAAATAATTCTCACGACGTTTCGGCTACAACGCAAGCAGCCGTCCTCAGGTGAAGAACAGGTCTGTCGGGGAGACAGCGTCTGAATGACCTGTTCTTCACCTGAGGACGGCTGCTTGCGTTGTAGCCGAAACGTCGTGAGAATTATTTTATTGTTTTATTTTTATTTTTTTATTATTTCCCTTCTACGTGACTTTACCGAAAGAACCAAGAAGATGAATCCCTGCAGTCACGAAAGCTTTAAATCGAAATCAAACTTTTTATTTTAGTTTACCAGCTAATGCCCATTGAACGGTTCCGTAGCTCTTTCTTGAGAAGCGACCCGGCTCTCACGAATGATCGATCAACGAAGTGGGCTCATCACACGGACATTTATAGCAGCCAAATACTCCAAACCGGTGGTTCTTAACCTTTACTGGAGCATTGCACCCCTTGGGGCCGTCCATAAATGACGTCACGCACCCGGGGGGGGGGGGGTGGTCAGACATTTGTGACGATGTGTGACGAGAGGGGGGGGGGGTTGAGAAATGTGACGTCACAACAAAATGCATAATTTTAAATAAATTTAGAATTGTTATAACAACACTAATTGTTATAACAGCACTCCTACAACATCAGAGTGCAGCGCCACATTAAACACGCACTACAATGACAATAGTTTAGAGCGATTTTAAGCATGTTTTATTTTCACAATGAAAATATGGTTTTCGGGGGGGAGGGGGGGCATAGCTTTGTGACGTCATATTTGATGGGGGTCTGACTTTTTGTGACGCCGTGTGACGAGGGGGGGGGGCGGAGGGTCAAAAATCGTCCAAAATCGCGTGACGTCATTTATGGACGGTCCCTTTGGTTCTCAATCCTAACAAAAAGAGAAAACATGTATGATGCTAATAAACACGTAGGTTTGATGAAACAAAGTAGTTGTGTCTTGATTTGAAGCTTTCGTGACTGCAGGAATCCATAATCTTTGGTTCTTTCGGTAAAGTCACGTGGGTAGAAAATAAAATAAATCACGTTTCGGGCGCAGACTGTTTTAAAAGGTGACGGACGCTTGTGTTGCGCCCGAAACGTCGTGATTTGTTTTATTTCATACCTACGTGACCTTTTCAAACAGTCTGTGCCCGAAACGTGATTAATTTTATTTTCTACCCACGTGACTTTACCGAAAGAACCAAAGATTATGGATTGCTGCAGTCACGAAAACTTCAAATCAAGACACAACTACTTAGTTTCATCAAACCTACGTGTTTATTAACATCATACATGTTTTCTTTTGTTTTACGATTGAGAACCAAAGGGGAAATGACGTCACGCGATTTTTGACGATTTTTGACCCCCCCGCCTCGTCACACGGCGTCACAAAAAGTCAGACCCCCCCTCCCTCAAATATGACGTCACAAAGCTCTGCCCCCCCCCCGAATACCATATTTCCGTTTAGAAAATTAAACACGCTTCAAATCGATCGCTTTAAACTACTGTATTGTCATTGTAGTGCGTATTTAATGTGGCGCTGCACTCTGATGTTGTAGGAGAAAACATTTATTAAAAATATATTTAATTAAGTAGAACGTGTTGTCTATATTTATTTCAAGTACTTGTGCTTAATTTGTGTGTTACCTTCTAAAGCAATCTGGCCAACGTCTGGAGCCCCCAGAGGGTGAAGCGTCCACCCCAGGTGAAGAAGAACCACTGCTCTCAACGCGTTGGATGTTGATTCGAAATGTGGAGGGAGGACCCGGAGAAAAACCCACGCGACCACGTTAATGGAGACACGCACGCTCCAAATATCGAGTCGGTATCAGGGCCGGGATTGAACCCGCGACCTCCTGTATACCAGGCGAGGTAGTTAACATCTCATAGCCACCGTGATGATGATGAGAGAGAGACACACACACAAACTCAAAATATACAGCAGCAGGCGTCAGGGTCGTGATCGAACCCACGACCTCCTGTATACCAGGCGAGATAGTTAACATCTCCTAGCCACCGTGATGATGATGGTGATGAGAGACACACAAACTCCAAATATACAGCAGCAGGCGTCAGGGTCGGGATGGAACCCACGACCTCCTGTATACCAGGCGAGGTAGTTAACATCTCCTAGCCACCGTGATGATGATGGTGATGAGAGACACACAAACTCCAAATATACAGCAGCAGGCGTCAGGGTCGGGATGGAACCCACGACCTCCTGTATACCAGGCGAGATAGTTAACATCTCCTAGCCACCGTGATGATGATGGTGATGAGAGACACACAAACTCCAAATATACAGCAGCAGGCGTCAGGGTCGGGATGGAACCCACGACCTCCTGTATACCAGGCGAGGTAGTTAACATCTCCTAGCCACCGTGATGATGATGAGAGAGAGAGAGACGCAAACTCCAAGTATACAGCAGCAGGCGTCAGGGTCGTGATCGAACCCACGACCTCCTGTATACCAGGCGAGGTAGTTAACATCTACTAGCCACCGTGGCGTCCTCATCACAAGTAGACTCATTTGCCAATCACACAGCCATAAAAAGGACCGAAATTAATAGGTGACGTTACGGGCAGTGACCCTTTTATAGGATCAGAGTATTCATCTATATTGGAGGAGCTATAAAGCTCCTTTTCACGGATGCCCAGTCGATATCTGTCATTGAAGGACGGTGTTTGTGAGGATTTAGTTACGTGTTGTTGTTGTTGTTGTTTGTGATAATGCGTCACTGCCGACGCAGCAGGACTCAATCGCACGTTCGATCCAGCGCGATAAATCCTCAGGACACATGACAGACGAGTTCTTGATCATTTATTCACGTCAATAACGATGATGATGATGATGCTGATGACGATGATAGAGAAATCTACCCAGCGACATTTTGACAGAATCTTCGATCAGAATCGATTTCTGCTTCGAACTGTTGCATCGGCAATCGAACTCGGGTCACCAGGTTCATAGCGCAGCGCGCTAACCGCTATACTACCGCTTCCCCAAAACACACACACATACCTAAACACACGTACACACACACACACACGTATACGCACACACGTATACACATACACACGTACACACACATACATATAATGGTACCCTTGCCCCGCGCGTCCCTACAACTCCTACGGCACCACCGAACACAAAGATCCCCCGTATAGCCTTCACAGGCTATCGAGGGCAAGTGCTGTCAGCGAGCAGCACCGATAAATTGCGGACATACCACCACCAAACGAATAATGACAAATATCCCCTATATAGCCTCACAGCCACCACCACGACCACTAGAACGTCATTTAGGACGCGCTGGGGTAATATCATTGGGTCATGTGCCCTCCTATGATGATGAGGATGACGGATGGTGGTTGGATGATTGATGATTAATCATGATTATGATGATGACAGAAAAAAATCTATACGGCAAATTTTACCACCTTGGGGAACCAAGTTCTACTCTGGGCCCATAAAATCGTGTTAACCACCACCACCACCATCACCACCACCACCACCATCACCACTATCACCACCACCACCACCACCACCATCACCACCACCATCACCACCACCACCACCATCACCACCACCACCATCACCACCACCATCACCACCACCACCATCACCACCACCATCACCACCATCACCACCACCATCACCACCACCATCACCACCACCACCATCACCACCACCATCACCACCACCACCACCACCATCACCACCACCATCACCACCACCACCATCACTACCACCATCACCACCACCATCACCACCACCACCATCACCACCACCATCACCACCACCACCATCACCACCACCATCACCACCACCATCACCACCACCACCATCACCACCACCATCACCACCATCACCATCACCACCACCATCATCACCACCATCACCACCACCATCACCACCATCATCACCACCACCATCACCACCATCACCACCACCACCATCACCACCACCATCACCACCACCACCATCACCACCACCACCATCACCACCACCACCATCACCACCACCATCAACACCACCACCACCACCACCACAATCACCACCACGATCAGCACCACTCCCACCAGCAGCATCCTACTCATGACCCCGTGCCCCCTGCCCATGTCTGCCCTACAACTCTTACACCACCACCATGATCATCATCATCACCACCATCACCACCATCACCAACACGATCACCACCACTCCCACCAGCAGCATCCTACTCATGACCCCGTGCCTCCTGTCCATGTCTGCCCTACAACTCTTACACCCCCACCACCACTATGACCACCATCACCACCACCACCACCAGGAGCACCACCGCTAGAACGTCGTCTGGAACGAGCCGGGCACCCCGTTGGGCTCGACGTCATCCAGCAACCTGCGGGTCTCCTGCCCGTCCTTGCCCTGGGCGCCCTCCCAGGCGAGAAAGCCGCGGCGCTGTCGCCTCTGGCGGGACTCGACCCCGAGGCGGCACGCGCGCCACGCGCCCAGCCCCAGCAGGGAGGCGAGCAGGGCGCCCAGCAGCAGGGCGCCCACCACCCACGGCCACAGCTCCTGCAGCTGCGCCTGGAAGCGCGTGAACCAGGAGCCCTCGCCGCCTGCGGTGGGGCAAGTGTGGGGGGTAGGGGGGGGGCAAGTGGGTGGGGTAGGGGGGGCAAGTGTGGGGGGTAGGGGGTGGCAAGTGTGAGGGTGGGGTGGGGCACGTGTGGGAGGCAAGTGGGTTGGGTAGGGGGGCAAGTGGGGATGGGGCAAATGTGGGGGGTAGGGGGGGCAAGTGGGGGGGGGCAAGTGGGGGGGGCAAGTGGGGATGGGGCAAGTGTGGGGGGGGGTAGGGGCACGTGTGGGGGGGGGTGGGGGGGGCAAGTGGGGGTGGGGTGGGGCAAGTGTGGGGGGGGGGGGTTGGGGCAAAAATGGGGGGGTGGGGTGGGGGGATGGGGTAAGTGTGGGGGGGGGGGTAGGGGCACGTGTTGCGGGGGTGGGGGGGGCAAGTGGGGGTGGGGTGGGGCAAGTGTGGGGGGGGGGGTTGGGGCAAAAATGGGGGGGTGGGGTGGGGGGATGGGGCAAGTGTGGGGGGGGGGTAGGGGCACGTGTGGGGGGGGTGGGGGGGGAAAGTGGGGGTGGGATGGGGCAAGTGTGGGGGGGGGTTGGGGCAAAATGGGGGGGGTGGGGGGATGGGGCAAGTGTGGGGGGGGGGGTAGGGGCACGTGTGGGGGGGGGGGGGTGGGGCAAGTGGGGGTGGGGTGGGGCAAGTGTGGGGGGGGGGGGGCGGGGAAGAGGATGATGAAGGTGTGAGTTGTTGTTGTTTACGAGAAGAGATTGTGCACCACCGCCACCACTACCACCACGTGCTCGTCTTACCACGTGGGTTATCGCTCGCTGCGGACAAGTCACGCTGACTCTTTCACGTCACGAGGGTTACTGCGGCTGCTGCTGCTGATAAATTTTGGTTGTTACTGCCACGTGGTTTCAACCACTTCATGACGAGTCGTGTTTTTTGCACATCATTGTTATTCCGCGTGGGAGGAGGAATCCCACGCCTTGCGCGAGGGGACAACAACAACAACGACAACAACAACGACAACAACAACGACAACAACAACAACGACAACAACGACAACAACAACGACAACAACAACAACAACAACAGCGACAACAACGACCACAACTACAACAACAACGACGACGACAACAACAACGACAACAACAACAACGCTCCATCCCCGCACGGAGATTCGTCCACACACTTCGCTGCGCCGCCTTCTCGTGGCGGGCCAGGTGGCTACGGCGCCTCCTCGACTCCCACGGGTAGAAGAAGCGAGTTCCACAACATTCGTTGCGGTGGTCCACCAACCCCTGCTGCTCGTGACCCAGCAGTGCTGTGGGGTCACAGGCAATCACGTGCAGCGTAGCCACCACCACGGCCAGGCCAGGCGTGTGCAGGTGGTGTCATTAATGCACAGTAGGTGATTTAAAATAGATTACGTGGGGAGCGGTGGTGCAGTGGTTAGCGCACGCTGCGCTTCGAACCCGGCGACTCCCGTTCACGACCGCCACCAGTGACGATTACCTGAACCGGTAATGGGCCTCCCCAAGGTCGACTCAGCCTCAAATGAGTGCGGCGTGTAAACATCGCCACGAGGTAGAGGCGCGGCACGTGGTGCTGGCTCACCCGCCCCCTCGTGTGCCGTGCCGGCTTCGCTCGCAGCACTTGCCCGAAACAGTCTGCCGAAGCTATACGGGGGAACTTTGTCTTTGTACTACATCGCCGCGAGGGAGCTCGCTAACAGAACACGAGGATGCTCACTAACAGAACACGATCACGCTCACTAACAGAACACGATGACGCTCACTAACAGAACACGAGGACGCTCACTAACAGAACACGATGACGCTCGCTAATAGAACACGATGACACTCACTAACAGAACACAATGACGCTCACTAACAGAACACGAGGACGCTCACTAACAGAACACGATGACGCTCACTAACAGAACACGATGACGCTCACTAACAGAACACGAGGACGCTCACTAACAGAACACGATGACGCTCACTAACAGAACACGATGACGCTCACTAACAGAACACGATGACGCTCACTAACAGAACACGGTGACGCTCACTAACAGAACACGAAGACGCTCACTAACAGAACACGATGACGCTCACTAACAGAACACGAGGACGCTCACTAACAGAACACGATGGCGCTCGCTAACAGAACACGATGACGCTCACTAACAGAACACGAGGACGCTCACTAACAGAACACGATGGCGCTCGCTAACAGAACACGAGGACGCTCACTAACAGAACACGATGGCGCTCGCTAACAGAACACGAAGACGCTCACTAACAGAACACGATGACGCTCACTAACAGAACACGAGGACGCTCACTAACAGAACACGAGGACGCTCACTAACAGAACACGATGACGCTCACTAACAGAACACGATGACGCTCACTAACAGAACACGAAGACGCTCACTAACAGAACACGATGACACTCACTAACAGAACACGATGACGCTCACTAACAGAACACGAGGACGCTCGCTAACAGAACACGAGGACGCTCACTAACAGAACACGAGGACGCTCACTAACAGAACACGATGACGCTCACTAACAGAACACTATGACGCTCACTAATAGAACACGAGGACACTCACTAACAGAACACGAGGATGCTCACTAACAGAATACGAGGACACTCACTAACAGAACACGATGACGCTCACTAACAGAACACGAGGACGCTCACTAACAGAACACGATGACGCTCACTAACAGAACACGAGGACACTCACTAACAGAACACGAGGACGCTCACTAACACAACACGATGACGCTCACTAACAGAACACGATGACGCTCACTAACAGAACACGATGACGCTCACTAACAGAACACGATGACGCTCACTAACAGAACACGATGACGCTCACTAACAGAACACGATGACGCTCACTAACAGAACACGGGGATGCTCACTAACAGAACACGATGACGCTCACTAACAGAACACAATGACGCTCACTAACAGAACACGATGAGGCTCACTAACAGAACACGATGACGCTCACTAACAGAACACGATGACGCTCACTAACAGAACACGAGGACGCTCACTAACAGAACACGATGACGCTCACTAACAGAACACTATGACGCTCACTAACAGAACACGAGGACGCTCACTAACAGAACACGATGACGCTCACTAACAGAACACGATGACGCTCACTAACAGAACACGAGGACGCTCACTAACAGAACACGATGACGCTCACTAACAGAACACGAGGACGCTCACTAACAGAACACGAGGACGCTCACTAACAGAACACAATGACGCTCACTAACAGAACACGATGACGCCCAGTAACAGAACACGATGACGCTCACTAACAGAACACGATGACACTCACTAACAGAAAACGATGACGCTCACTAACAGAACAAGATGACGCTCGCTAACAGAACACGAGGACGCTCACTAACGGAACACGATGACGCTCACTAACAGAACACGATGACGCTCACTAACAGAACACGATGATGCTCACTAACAGAACACAATGACGCTCACTAACAGAACACGATGACGCTCACTAACAGAACACGATGACGCTCACTAACAGAACACGATGACGCTCACTAACAGAACACGAGGACACTCGCTAACAGAACACGATGACGCTCACTAAAAGAACACGAGGACACTCACTAACAGAACACGATGACGCTCACTAACAGAACACGAGGACACTCACTAACAGAACACGAGGACACTCACTAACAGAACACAATGACGCTTGACTAACAGAACACGATGATGCTCACTAACAGAACATGATGACGCTCAGTGACAGAACACGATGACGCTCACTAACAGAACACGATGACACTCACTAACAGAACACGATGACGCTCACTAACAGAACACGATGACACTCACTAACAGAACATGATGACACTCACTAACAGAACACGAGGACACTCACTAACAGAACACGATGACGCTCACTAACAGAACACGAGGACACTCACTAACAGAACACGAGGACACTCACTAACAGAACACAATGACGCTTGACTAACAGAACACGATGATGCTCACTAACAGAACATGATGACGCTCAGTGACAGAACACGATGACGCTCACTAACAGAACACGATGACACTCACTAACAGAACACGATGACGCTCACTAACAGAACACGATGACACTCACTAACAGAACATGATGACACTCACTAACAGAACACGAGGACACTCACTAACAGAACACGATGACGCTCACTAACAGAACACGAGGACACTCACTAACAGAACACGAGGACACTCACTAACAGAACACGAGGACACTCACTAACAGAACACAATGACGCTTGACTAACAGAACACGATGATGCTCACTAACAGAACACGAGGACACTCACTAACAGAACACGAGGACGCTCACTAACAGAACACGAGGACACTCACTAACAGAACACGATGACGCTCACAAACAGAACACGATGACGCTCACTAACAGAACACGATGACGCTTACTAACAGAACACGATGACGCTCACTAACAGAACACGATGACGCTCACTAACAGAACACGATGACGCTCACTAACAGAACACGATGACGCTCACTAACAGAACACGATGATGCTCACTAACAGAACACGATGATGCTCACTAACAGAACACGAGGACGCTCACTAACAGAACACGATGACGCTCACTAACAGAACACGAGGACGCTCACTAACAGAACACGATGACGCTCACTAACAGAACACGATGATGCTCACTAACAGAACACGATGACGCTCACTAACAGAACACGATGATGCTCACTAACAGAACACGATGACGCTCACTAACAGAACACGATGATGCTCACTAACAGAACACGATGACGCTCACTAACAGAACACGAGGACGAACAACTCACTAACAGAACACGAGGACGCTCACTAACAGAACACGAGGACACTCACTAACAGAACACGAGGACGCTCACTACAGAACACGAGGACACTCACTAACAGAACACGAGGACGCTCACTAACAGAACACGAGGACGCTC